ATCGATTTAAAGCTCGCTTGGTAGCCAAAGGATACACTCAAATTTTTGGGTTGGATTATGGTGATACCTTTTCTCCTGTAGCCAAGATGGCATCTGTTAGACTTCTTCTAGCCATTGCAGCCATTCGACATTGGTCTCTTCATCAACTTGACATCAAAAATGCATTCTTACATGGCGATCTTGAAGAGGAAGTATATATGGAGCAACCACCTGGGTTTGTTGCTCAGGGGGAGTCATCGAATATGGTTTGTAGGCTACACAGGTCTCTTTATGGTCTTAAGCAATCTCCGAGAGCTTGGTTTGGCAGATTCAGCACTGTAGTACAACCGTTTGGTATGATCCGTAGTGAAGCTGACCATTCTGTTTTTTATCGTCACTCACCCCAATGGTGTATTTATCTTATTGTGTATGTAGATGACATTGTCATAACTGGTAGTGATCAGCAAGGAATACTCCAGTTGAAACAACATCTCTCGAAACAATTTCAGACAAAAGATCTTGGTAAACTCCGTTATTTCTTGGGTATTGAAGTAGCCCAATCTAAAGATGGTTTGGTGATTTCTCAGCGGAAATATGCTATGGATATTTTGGAAGAAACAGGTTTGTTAAATGCTAAACCAGCCGATACTCCTATGGATCCAAGTATTAAACTACTACCCAATCAGGGGGAGCCTCTATCTGACTCAGGAAGGTATAGGAGATTGGTTGGAAAGTTGAATTATCTCACAGTCACTCGTCCGGACATTTCTTTTGCAGTCAGTGTGGTAAGCCAGTTCTTAAATTCCCCTTGTCAGGAACATATGGATGTTGTTATCCGGATTTTGAGATACATCAAATGTGCTCCAGGAAAAGGTCTTGTGTATGAGGATAAAAGACATACCCAGATAATTGGATACACTGATGCTGATTGGGCAGGGTCACCCATTGATAGACGATCCAACTCTGGGTATTGTGTACTTGTTGGAGGAAACCTTATATCCTGGAAAAGTAAGAAACAAAATGTAGTTGCAAGATCAAGCGTCGAGGCAGAGTATAGGGCGATGGCAATGGCAACATGTGAACTTATTTGGTTAAAACAGTTGCTCAAGGAACTTCAAATTGAAGAAGCAAGACCAATGACACTTATTTGTGATAATCAAGCTGCATTGCACATTGCTTCAAATCCAGTCTTTCATGAGAGGACCAAACATATTGAGATAGACTGTCACTTTGTCAGAGAGAAGATCGAGTCAGGCGACATCGTCACAAGCTTTGTCAACTCTAATGATCAATTGGCAGATGTGTTTACAAAATCCCTACGAAGCCCCAGAACTAACTATATATGTAACAAGCTTGGTGCATTTGACTTATATGTTCAAGCTTGAGGGGGAGTGTTGATATTTGTAAATATATATAAAGTGTTAAGAATATTTGTATATAGAATAGTCCCACATCGACTATATTATGTAATTAGTTGTAATCTATTTATATATAATAATGTCTCCGTAGTGCTTTTCAAAACACGCGGTTTATTCATGTCTCTTAGTCTCTTGTATTTCAACAATCCTAAAGAATCATCACATTAGAGCAACTTTCCCATTGCGGCTGCCACTTAACTTTAAAGGCAATCTCCAAACCCAACATCACATCAAGCACCAATCGGAACTCTAAGGGATCAGTAATTCCAACCTACATTAGCAAATGTTATTTAGTCACATTGCAAGTGTTAATAACAAAAAATGGATACTTGCCTGCATCACGGAAGACATAGTGTAAAATGAGTATCTAAGCTTTTAAAACCATTTTAGTAAATATGTTAAAGTAATCATGGAACGAATAACCTTCTTCCTTCACTTTCACATACTGGAGTAAAACAGTGGTTGGTCCAGATGCATTAACCCGGTCTTGGTTGAATTTTCTTGGTTGAATTTTATGAATTGGGCTGCATATGTCTCCCAAAGAGTACAGTTCATTGTGTTGTTTCTGTTAAGAAATGTGGTTGGGCCTAACTCAACCCTACAAAACCGGCTGGTAGAGTGAGGATTGCCCCCACTTATAAACACATGTTCATGCCATATATTGTCCGATGTGGGACTCTTAACACACCCCCTCACGCTCAGGACTGGGGTGGACAACTGAAGCATGGAAATAAATGGTGGGTGGCCCGATAGCGGAAACCATAGAAGGTGGCCCACCGGATCTTAAACGAGGCTTTGATACCATGTTAAGAAATGTGGTTGGGCCTAACTCAACCCTACAAAACCGGCTGGTAGAGTGAGGATTGCCCCCACTTATAAACACATGTTCATGCCATATATTATCCGATGTTGGACTCTTAACAGTTTCTACAAAAAGTGTTAGAAAGGTTATAACATTATGTTATCAGAAGAAGAAACAGCGGATGTTAAACATATTGGTATTGGATAATCATGAAACTTACACATTGTCCCTGAGGATAAAATTAACCTGTTACTTCCTTCCGCCTGCGTGGGTATGTGAAAATATTATAATATCCATCCTTCCTATGATATCTGTAAAAAAAACTATAAGAGTCAATCGGTATAACAAAGATGTGGGAAAAAGATGATGGATGCGCAAATAATCAAACATTGTAACCTATGAGCATGTCCTTCTTCAAACACCCGGTCATTATATCAGCAAAACTGGTGAAGCAGGTTGTCTTGGGTGGAATGTCATCCTTGCCAACAACACTGGCGGAGGTTCCTCCGGTGAACTTTACCATGTACCGGTGGAAAGAAGGCTTGAAGACCAAATCATTAGGCACAACCTTGAAGATTGATATGGTGTATGTGTGGTCCACCTTTAACACCGTATCGAAAGCCGAAAAAAATGTTGTGGGCAGAATGATATGCATGTCCGCCCCCTGTCAAAGAATGCAAGCAGAAAGAACATGAAAAGTCATACCATAAACAACAAACAAAATAGTTATCCTTATAGATAAATGCAAACATCAAAAAACAAAGCAACCAATATGAAACAAAGTTTGTAAACCGGTGATGTTGAAGCCTGAGAAAAAATCAATGTTGGAAAAATGCGTACAACCTAAGAAAAATGGACCAAAGATCCAAGAGCACATGGAAAAAAAACCAATATACAAAAAAAAATGTGACGTGTTAGTAAGGGAAACCTCATAACAATGTAAGAAAAGGCCACATAAAAAATAAAAGACACAACCGTATTCAAACTTGCAAAGCAATAAAAGAAATGGAAAGCCTAGTTACGTAAGAGAGAACCATGTGCGCAAAACAAATGGATATTGACAAAAAAAAAAGTGCAAGCAAACTTACAAAGCAACTATCCAAATGAACTACTCGGTAACAAAATCACAAATCATCTGGGTAAAGCAAATTGCACAACGTAATAAAAAAAAGTTAAATTTAGTTATGTAAGAGAGAACCATGTGCGTAAAGATGAACCATTCAATAACAAAATCAAAAATCATTCGTGTAAAGCAAATTGCAAGTGAACAAAAAAAAGTGTAAGATGTCTGTAAGGAAAGCCCCAACAACAAAATAGCAGACACAAAGTAAAAAAGAAAACTTACATCCTTGTCAATAACTACCATCTCGAAGTGTTCTTTGTTGTTCGTAACTACTGACCATCAATAATGAATACAAACCGCCACCTTCCACAAGTTATTCAAGTCGTTGACATCGTTTAACTTCGCAAAAAGTCGAGCCATATAGGATTATGAGAGAAGAACTGTGACGGATAAACAGTGTCTAAGAAAAGGGTATGCAAAGAAGGACGATGAACATGGTAAGCAGAGAAGAAATGTAAATGAGTTTGGAAAGGAAGTTGTTTGTAAAGAAAAGTGGTGGATATTATTTGCAAATTTCATATGAGTTGCATATGTTACTGTAATCCAAAAAAGATAAGAGTACATAATATATAAAATTATGTTATCTATAATCTATAACTATATATCAAAGAAATAACATATAAAATTATGTTATCTATAATCTATAATTATATATATAAAGGTAAAATAATTTTGATGTAGTTTATTTTTGTTTCAATTATACTCTTTTCAGTTATTGTTTTAAATCTTAATTTCTCTTTAATTCTCTTTAATTAACTACTATTTAGTGGTTTGCGTGTCTTTTTTCTTCTATTATTTTTTAATTATTTTATAAGTAATTTAAATTAAAATAAAAAACAAACACATAAAAAATATTGTTTATATTATAATAGAAGGGCACGGAAGTGTCCCTCTGAAAGGTAATGCATGAACACTAATGAGTATAAAGGAAATGCATTAATGGTGTTCAATTTCATTAAGGTGTGGCGCGTTGGGCTAAGCAGCTGCAGTATCGGAAAGAGGAAGCTCAGCATTAAGGTCGTTGTGGCCTTTTTTAGAGCATATGAAATTCTTATATGATAAATATTTAATAGATTTAGTTTAGTTACATAAAAAATAGATTTAGAACTCTTGAAATACTAAAATTTTCTAAAATATTTAGAACGCCTTTGAAATTTTAAAATTTTCTACACTCCAATCATGTCATCATTATATCTCAGCTATTTCCTTCCTACAAAAAGAAAAACAAAAAATTCTCTCAAACTCAGTTTCAAACAAAAGTTTTGCTTTGTATATTATATATGCATATAAGTTTACAAGTTTTAATGCAATGCGTTAAATCTAGTTAATATAGTTTTAAATGACGGAAAGTAATGTTAAAATAATTTTGAGAGTTGAATGGGTCCCATTCTAGCAAAATCTCACTACTATAAGAGTTTGTGCTTGTAATTTGAGAATTGCAATTCTGTTGAGAAACTACATTAATCTAGATAAAGTGTGACGAAAAAATACCCCCAATTGAATATAAAAAAATGCAAATGCCACAACTGCATGAAGTTCATTCTCTTTAAAGTATGTACAATTGAATAAGGCTCGAGCAACAAAATGAAATGTAATAACACCCTATTTCACCTAAACCTGCTACTAAAAATCCTAGTGACAAAAAAAGGGGGAGAAAAAAACAAACAGGACTGTGCTGTTATTGGTTATGCGGCCAAAATTGATGCAATTTTCTGGGCAACAAATCTTGAACACTACCTGACTGCTTGTGTTCTTCCGGAATTTGGCTCCAAGAAGGATAGAAATCAGAATATTCATGACTTGCATACTGTGACAGGGAAGCTTGACTCGGTTGGTCCGGAAAGATATATTGGGTTTTCTCCGGTACATATGAAGATCTTAACCTCGTCTCATAATCCCGTTGAGAAAAGCTATCATGCTGGCAAGAAGAACAACAATAAAGTCAATTAAGCAATTGATAAAATTATAGTAGGCTTAACAATGTAGAGCACTAAAATGATACTGGTCAAAAACTTTGAGATAAAGCAACCATCATACAATTTTGAACATAACAGTTGGATGCTATCCCTTTTTTTATTTTTTGGGGGTGATTTCAGAGTAGATGAAATCCCTTTTTTATTTTTTGGGATTTTGCAGAGTAGGCACATACAGATCTAGAATGGGTAACTTTAAAGTCCACAGTGATTATCACCGCATTCATAACTACATATAGAAAATATTATTCTTCAAAAAAAAAAGATAGTAAAACTTACCGGTTGAACAGAGCTCAAGTTATGTCCGCCATAATATTGAGAAGTTAAAATCTCGTTCAAGTTACTCGAAGGTTTCATATTACCAAGAGATGCATTAGGTTGAAAGCTTCCAGGACAATAAAGGGAAGAATCGGGATTTCCATAACCAGGTGCATCACTGACAGTGGATGGATGCAATCTACTCATGAATTCATTTCTATTTTGTGGAAGGCTGTTGTAATTCATGTTTGCATGAGATCCACTGTATGCAGTGTTGTCTGAAAATGCTCTCCTAGAATCAATGGTTGCCATATATGACTGATTCTGAGGTAAGGCATAATATGCTTCTCGCGATTGTTGAAAGTGATTATTGGGTTGCACTGTAAAACCCTGGGCAGGTGACGGTCTGTTATGCAAAGCAAAGGTGCCTGGTTCTATATCCTGCATGTTTAAACAACTGTCAAGAACAATGACACTAATTATTAGGTCCAATTTATCAATAACTTAGAAAATAGTTTTATACTATTAGGGCTTGTTAATTTGAAAATAATGAAACACAAAATAGATTTTAAAAACTACCTTCTATTCATAAGTTTGGAAAACTAAAATATGTTTTAGATGTTCTGGTTTTTACTTTGGAATATTGGGAAGAGAAAATAAAAACAAAGAAAATGGGTACAATTTTCATTAATGGGAAGTTTAAAATAGTAACTTGAAAATGTATAAAGAATGTATATGAATCATCTTGCTTTATGAATACAAATGTTTCTATTAAACAAGTTTTTTCATTTCCTCGTCTTTAAAATAGTTCTCAAAAAGAAATTAGCAAACATATTTTTTTCCTCCAAAACAGTTTTTTTAAATTGATTTATAAAATAGATGTTGAAAACTTAAAAAACAAAAGCCATTCAAACATACCCTTAGTGTTTTGTTTTCATTTTTCAAAATTTAAATTATTGTACAATTCCAACAAATGTTTAGATTTTTGAAGTACTACCCTTAGATTTTTGAAATACAGTATTCCACATGCATACCCAGTAATTATATATAACCCATACCTTCGCAATTTAGTTGGTTGACAATTCCAATAAATGTTTAGTTAGCTCTATTATGTTGCTAAAGACAAGCAAAATAAAATCACAAAATTAAAAGGTGTACGGAAAAAGAATGTACCCTGGATACCCCGGACATGGAGAGGGGGAAATTGTTTATGGATGGTTCCGCATTGTGTTTTGAACGTCGTGATTCTGCTAGGAGATATGCCAACAAATCTTGGGGTACCGCATTTGAACTATTATGCTGCATGAAGGCAAATAGAAGCAAATCTTAAAATCATGTCATATTTAAAAAGCTTAAAAGAAAATAGGAATGAGTAAATAGTCATCAATGAACAGATTTACAAGATGAGAATTAACAATAAAAAAACATTAGGAGGAAAATGTAACCATACATTATTATCAAATGAATAATACAGTATTAGCAATAATAGAAAATAAGAATGAGTAAATAGTCATCAATGAACAGATTTACAAGATGAGAATTAACAATAAAAAAAACATTAGGAGGAAAATGTAACCATATATTATTATCAAATGAATAATACAGTAAGTTATTTGCAAAAGGTTACATGCATATCAGAAAAGCAGAATAAATGTGCCACTTCACAAAAACAGTTTAGTCATGAATTCATGCATATATATGCAATAAAGATCAATATCTCAACTATGAGGCTTAAAGGTGGCAAGGGATTAGTGCCCTGAACAAATTATTGACAGATTGGACCTAATAATTAGTGCTACTAATATTCTTGACCGTTGTTGAACCATGCAGGACATGGAGCTAGGAATCATAAACATAAAATAAACTGTATTGCATTTGAAGCATAGAATATGCAATGTAGTAGAAATAATATTTTAACTCTTAGAATTTTGTACAAGTTGCTACAATCATGAGAATCAGTCTCTTGCCAATGATAACAAAAAGCTTGTCCACAAGAATCAGTCTCTTAGGCTTTGGATTGGACCTTTACTCATCCTTACAAAAGGAGATTTGAAATGATTGTTGGTGCAATAGAAGAAAAGTTGAAAACAGTTAATAACAAATTGAGCGTGAAGACGACGAGTTTGGTGCAAAGAATGAAGCAATTGATTTTCTTCCAGTCAAATGCCGATTTTGTGATGGCCAGAAATATCCCAATCATTCAAGCCCCGGTAGTATATGCACCAGTGACGGTTGCTAAAGCCGCCAGAACCACCAGATACATGACCCCTTGCGGTGGTTCTACCACTCCCAGTCACAGAACATGGCAACTTCAGTAGCCATGGAGACTCATGCTGCAAGTGGCTTGATCATGCTGACACCACCACCAAAGCCATAGGGATGGTGGTCCACTTTATGGCTGGAAATGAGTCGAGTCAAACTCACTTCAGCTCGGCTTGACTCGTTAAGAATTGTTCAAGTTCGAGTTCAACATGAACTTTTTTTTAAGCTTAAACTCGACTCGTTATAAGTTCACGAACAATTCGGTTCGACTCGTTAGGTTCATCTCATTAGGTTCAGCTCACATGATTCACAAACTTAAAAACTATTTTTTTAAATATATATTTTTTAGTATATTTGACATTTTAAATAAATATATTTTTTAAAAATAAAATATTAAAATAAAATAAAAGTTATCATATTGAAATTTAACTTTATCTTCGAAATCTACTAATTCAAAACCTACACAACTTTCAAGAGATACATTTGAGAGTCTAATTCAAAAACTACTAAATTGAAAATTAAATTTGTCTAAGATTTGGAGTAAATATTTAAACCTAATCTTAAAGACAGTATAATTCTTCTCATATGTAATCGAGTTGACTCATGAACCTAACGAGTCGAACTATGTATAGTTCAAGTTCAACTCATTTAGTTAACGAACTTAATTTTTCGTTCATACTCAACTCATTTGGTTCATGAACCTAGTTCAACAATTTAATTGTCGAATCGAATTCCGAACTATTTTCGAGTTGGTTCGGTTCATTGCCAGCCCTAGTCCACTTGTTGCATCCCTGTCTCTGGTGAGATGCCGACAGAGGCAAATTTGCATTTCAAGCCCCGGACGAAGACACCTTCAGCTGCTTCAAAACCCTTGTATCCTAATACAATGAAAGCACTCCCCTGGTGATGGTTTAAGTTGGGAGGATGGGGGCATATTTAGAGAGTAAATATCCTAAGTTCATACTTGAGGACAAGTCTATACTTCAAGGGGCTGGTGTAGTCGTAGGACACCTAGGCTGAATCTAGTATCAGAAGTAACGCTCAAAGTCCACAATATGGCAGGTCTATTCTATTCTAGAAGGCCAAAAGGTGGGACCTAGGGTAGAAAGTCATAGTTAGAGATGGGGGGTATTTTTCCTTGTGATTCTATCAGATAATGTTATGATAAAGGAGATAGTGGTGAGCAGGGGAACCATTCACAATTATTGTTGATAGTTGGTTAGGAGAGTAGTCTCTCAAGTAGGAGCTTTGCTCTTAGATGCAGACAATCCTGAAACTTATGTGTTTACTCACTTCTAATCCTAGGTGTGATCACGAAATTGATAACATCATTGACCACAGAATATTCTTAGTAGACTCCAAATATTAAAACAAATGTAAGACGTGGGTCGGATTTCAGAAAAAAAATGAAAGGCGCAGGTCTAATTAAGTTGGGTCGAACTTGACTAATCAGGATGGGCTAGAATAGTTAGGTTTGTATTCAGTTTAAACTAAATAGAATAGATTAGGAGTGGGTAAGGAGGGCAGACTGTTATTTTGTTAGAGATCCAGATGTTAAGGATAGGACTGGCTCTCAAATCCTTGTCATCACTATAAATTGTTTCGACCTTCCTTAATTGCCTAATGCAGTTCTATACAACTCAGACCCTGTAACACTTGTTTCCTGGGAATTTCATCAAAATACTCCCTCTATCGCAAATTATAAATCGTTTAGGGCATTTCACACCGATTAAGAAATATAGTTAATTTTGTATGGAAAAGAGAAAATTGTCCTTCAGTAATGACGTGAGAGAGATTAAAAGAAATGAAATAAGGAGGTAATAAATAGTAGATGGTATAGGAAAATAATCATAATTGTCTAATTGGTATTGTATAGTGGCTTGCAATTTGGGACAACTTTATTTCTACAAGCTGATTTAATTTGGGATGGAGGTAGTAATATCGTAGGTATTATTTAGTAAAATTAAGCTTTACTTTATTACCAGTTCTAACAAAATATCATTTAGAAAATCAATATAGAGAACTCAAGATAGGAAGGCAATAGTATCACCAGTTCTCCTGGAAATGAAGAATGGTTTCCACTCTGCACGCATGGCTGCTTCAAAGGCAGTGATGGAACCATCCATTGGGACTTTTGCAAACTAGGATCTGATATAGATGCTGTAGTGTTGTATTCATGCCCAAGAGTTGAATGGAGGCCATAGTTTTGATCACCGGGTGTTCCTCTAAGAATGTCAAACCCAAGCTGATCTCCAAGGTTTTGAGAACTAGTATAGAAGAAAAACACACATGAGAATGAGTTGCCAGAGACAGCTGAATATATCAAGAGTTGGAAACAGAAAAGAAAATGCCTGGGTTTCAAGAGCTGAGCCAAGGGGCCATCTACAGTTGCAGATTTCATCTCCAAGCCATCTCTAGAAAGATTATTAGGTGTGAAAGCCTCTGAAGATGCAGAATTATTGCCACCCTTGTATGTGCCAAAACTCAGATGCGAACACTCAGCAGCCAAGGCTTGTAAGTGATTTGGAAGAACCACTATATCGTCAGATGATGGCACTTCTAGGTTGGCCTCTTTCATATTTAGCCGCTGAAGATCCAAAGTAACAGATGACACACCTACAAGGACATCATTAGTAAATTTATTAGAATTACAGCAATTCATGACCTTCTCCTGAAGAAGAAAAGTGTGCAAAATATAGAATTTGTGTGAATATTGAATTGCTTGATCATTTATACTTTCATAAAAATAAAATAAAATAATGCTACAAGAATTGATCATTTACAAAAAGCAAAAACCTGAAAAATAAAACTGCTTTGCACTTAGGTAAACAACCTAATAAAGTTCGTGGTCAAGTAACACATATTAATAAGCTGTTGACATAAGCAAAAACAAAATACCTATTTGTTCTTAGATAAACCCAAATAAGCTCTAGAAATGCTCCAAACTAGTTTTACTTTCTCAATAGTTAGAAACTACATAGCTTTTGGAAAAAAGAAAAAGAAAAAAAAAGGCAATATCATAGAAAACATGTTTTCTCAAGCTTATCCAAAAGTAACCTAAATATTTGTATGTTACTCATGATAAAACTTATAAGGACAAGACATCTTTTTAGTTTCTACAAAAATAATAATAATGTGCATAAAATAGCAATATTAACACAATCACCAATGAAGACATTCATATGTCAAATTTCGAATGGCCTTGTACAACAACAACAACTAAGTTTTATCCTACTAAGTGGGGTTGACTACATGGATCAAGTTCCTCCATAATGTTTTATCCAATACCATGTTTCTATCAAATTGGTTAATCTCGAGATCCTTCTCGATAGTTTTACTTATAGTTTTTCTAGGTCTTTCTCTACCTCGAGTTGTTTGACTCTTTTGCGTCTTATCTACTTTCCTTACAATAGAATCTACAAGTTTATTCTCTACATGCCCAAACCACCTAAGCCTATTTTCCACCATCCATTCCACTATAGATAGGTACAACACTCTTTCTAATATTGTCATTTCTAATCTTATCTCGTCTAGTCTTCCCACACATCCAACGCAACATCCTCATCTCTACTACAATTTCTTTATTCTCATGTTGATTCTCAATCATGTTCAATAAAATTTTCCCTTCAACTTGAGCAGTACTTTTGTGTCACATAAAACCCCCAAGACCATCCTCCATTTCAGCCACCCATTTTAAATTCGATGGTTTATATCCCCCTTATATTTATCCATCATTTTATATTATGGACCAACAGATCTTGGATAGACTCTAATACCAACTTAGAATTTCCCTATTTTGAGAAATGGTAGCATTTCACTACGATGTTTTGAAGCTACCATACATGGGTACATGTAGATAAATTTCACTATTTAGAGAAATGGTAGCATTTCACTATGATGCATCCCAAATTCAAAACATTTTTCTTATTTGATTTCAAGTGGTTATGTTAATTTTACACTACAATTTTTAGATGTATTACAGCCTACCATATATTATAATTTTATAATTTAGTTGTACCGTCAAGTAACATACTTGTACTTCCTAAACCATATATCTCATTTGATCCATCCACCATCTAAATGGGTGTTTCTACAACTTTCTTTTGAATACGTTTATTTAGAATAAGCTTGATCTTTTCTCATTACCCCTCCATTGGTTCAAAAACTAGTTGCCTCACCATGCATATATATCACTTACAACTCAAAAATAACTAAATCAGCATACTAACTCCTTTTTCCAACAAATTCATTATTATGACACCCAACAACAACAAAGTCTTATTCCACGAGGTGAGGCAAATTCCACGTTGTTCTATCAAATGCCATGCTTCTATCTAACTAATTAATCTCTAGATCTTTCTTAATAGTTTCTCTCATTGTAGATGGCGGCAATCCACGGCGGAGAGGCAAATTCCCACCATACCGGCTGATATTTACCATTGCGACGAGCGCAAAAACTGCCATGTATATTCACCGTAGCACTTCTTTTACAATTATTCTAGGTCTTTCTCTACCTCTAGTTGGTTTGACTAACCTCCATTTTATCTACTCTCCTTATACATAATCCACTAGTCTTCTCTCAACATGTTCGAACCATTTAAGCCTAGTTTTCATCATCTTTTTTATTATAGGTGCTACCCCAACTCTCTCTCTCTAATGTAGTCATTTTTAATCTTATCATGTCTCGTCTTACCATTCGTCCAACACAGCATCCTCATTATTTCTATTTTTTGCCACAATGATGTTATCATTGTGACACCCACCATCGGCTTTTTCAAATCAAAATATTTTCAAGCAGCAATCCAATTATGACAGCTATTCATACAATCAGCCATAACAATCGTTGTTTAAATCAAATGTTTTCTAAAATAAATATATGGAAACACATGGTACATTCTATATGCATGTGCAACTTGACATAATAACGTGTTAAAACTTTTAAATTACTTTGAGTGGCAAGTATTTTCAACTCAAGAAGTATAATTCTATATGCATGTGCAACTTGACATAATAACATGTTAACACTTTTAAATTACTTTGAGTGGCAAGTATTTTCAACTCAAGAGGTATATAATCTATATGCATGTGCAACTTGACATAATAACATGTTAACACTTCTAAATTACTTTGAGTGGTAAGTATTTTCAACTCAAGAAGTATATAATCAATTAGTTATAGTTCTCTCTTGTATGTATATCCCAATGATCATGGCTTTATATATTTGCATAGTCATGTATAGTTAGTACAAATCAAATAATCATTAGCTATAAAGTAAAACTCATGAAATGTCGCATTGCAACAATGGTTTACAAACACCAACACCATACAGAAGTAGGTTTTTCTAAACCTCACTTCGGCATCGATGCAGTGCAAAGATGTAATGCCACGTTGTAATCATTGTTTTACAGAAATATAAAGAATGAGGCCACTAAATCTGAAATCTGAGTCCCAATAGTTACCTTCACGATGCTCATAAGAACCAGAAAAGTCGGAGGTAAGAGTATTCTTTAAATTAGAGTTGGAATGTGGTCCTAGTTCAGTGTAGTCCGATATAGAAGCAGATTCAATTTTTTCAGAAATAGCATTATCACGGGCAATCTCCTCCCGTGAAACTTGGGCTGCATCTAATTCATGGTTCCTGTGTAAACTTACTTCAGTATCATGCCAGTTAGGAAGCTCAAATGGAATATTAGCATTTGATGAAGAATACATGTTTAGTGTTTGTGCGTTTCCAGATATTGGCTGTTCAATTACAGGCCACTCATCATGAAAACTTTGTTGCTCAGAACTATTTTGACAGGGAAGACTCAAGCTGGACTCTGAATTTCCGGATAATGATGAAACTCCTATCGAATTACAATGGTCATGTGAAACAGCATCTTGAGATGTTGTGCCCATTCTTACAATGTCTGCCATTGAAAGATGTCCTTTGCTCGCCCCTACCAACCGGGGTAGAGGTGCTGGAGACACTTGGGCAGTATCTGACATGGAGACACCTGTTCCTAATGACTGTCTTCCATTATCAGTATATAAAGAATCACTGCACCAAATTTTAAAAAGAAAAATGAGACATACTTACAGTTTATTTACAAAAATAATCACCACAACATTCTAATGACGGTGATATCAATAAGTCAGGCAAACAAAAAAAATACTTGCACATTTCATAATAGTAATTTGGCAAGGCAAAAACTCAAATATGAACCTGAAATAATAAACACTACTAAAAAAAGGAACCCCAGTTCCACCATAGCAGTTTCCATTGAAGGGTCAGACCTAATGCAGGTCTATAGGTAGGCAGCCTTTCTTGGCATTTATAACAGACTGATTCCATGATTGGAACTTGTGACACATTAGACAGATGATAGCAACTCTAACAATTGCATCAAAATCCCCCATCAGGTATTAGTATACTATTCACTGATTATTTATGTTATACAAAATACAATTGTACACAAAAATACAGCGTTTGGTTGCGGTCACTAACATCCAATGGCAATAAAAGATACCACTCATGACCTGCATGCCAAATGTGAAACAAACATAGCTGCAGTAGCTGACAGAAAACCTAATCGCACCCAGGAGCGTTTCTAAATTAAAGGAAATGATTAAACATCCATTATGTCTTCAAATTCCTCCAGTCATAAGTTCCTTGGTGATTCAAACGGGACCACTGTACTTTTCAACGACACTATGATAATGGACTAATGAACAAGGACAATCACGTGAATATCCTTTACCAAGGGGGAAAAAACCACGATATCCACAAAAACAGAGAAAGCGCAAAGACAATATTGACAAAATGATACCATATACCAAAATCATCGTCAAAAACACTATTGGAACATTTTCAACAGATAGCTTATCGTATGGAATAAACTGACATCAAGCCACATACAATCAAAAGCAAAATTATAAATAAAGTCACACCAAATTAAATATAAATAATAAAAACACACTCACACTTTTGTACTTTTCCCCGCAACATGAGTTGTGGAAGACGTAACCGAAGCACAAACTGACCCAACATCTTGCTTGTCAACCGCTTTACCGTTTTCTGACATACATTACACAAATTCAATAACATAAGACCATGCAATAGTAAAAACCAATGTCATTGTAACAGAAACTATCAAATGTTCCACATTCAAAAGAACAATACCCTTATAAGCCATATGATGAAATCCATTTTGCACAACACCAGGATCATTGCCAATGCCAATCTTGCCTCCCCTGCTCAACCCTGTACTATTACCCCTCGTCCTTGAATCCACCGCCTCCTTCATCTAAATATTAAAATCCATATACATTATTCATCATCACATAATATATTCAAATTCAATCTCATGTCAATGTTAATGTAACTTAATAAATTACCTCTTTCCTTTTTTCACGTTTGCTTCTAACCTCACGAAACGTATCTACAATTAAAATGTCATACACTTACAATCATATTCCCAATGAATTTGCATAGAGAAAATCATCAAACTATTCATAAACCACAAATAACGGAAAATCAAAAAAAATAGAACGAACTCGTTCTCCACTCTCTGAAAAGAGTAAGAAAACGTCAATATCACACATATACAATCATCAAAAACTAAAAACCAGTCAACAGTTTCATCATCTTCACTAAACACCAAACGGTTGAAAAAAAGAAAAGAAAAACAACAAACTCCAATGCAAAAACGAAACGTCAGTTACGTAACCGAATCAAGAAACGGCAGTGAAAGAAAAACAAAAAGAATCAAATAACCTTGAGCGAGAAGTTTCTCGACGGCGAGGTTAGGGTCCATATCACAGTCCTTAAGAACGTCGTAGATCTCTTGTTCCGTACAGTTAACGATCTCCTTCACCGTCGCAACAACGTCTATCGCCGCCGTCTTTCCACTGCGAGCATTATTAGTTTCACTCCCCATTCCGAAAATTTTGCCGCACTTTGTATCGCTTTAGCGGCGAGGTTTTCTTTTCGATTATCAAAAAATCAGAAAAACACTGAAAATCGCTTTCGTTCTATCGCGCTTTGGGTTTTTATTTTTTGATAAATATAGCGGTTTTCTCTTATGCTTGTGGACTGTGATTAAGTACTCTAGTATGAGTATATCAACACTAGAGATATTGGGCCACGTTATTGTTACTGACTGTGATGGTTTTATCCGTCACAGCCCATGAATTTTGCCGTTTCTTTTTGCCCGAGCGTGGAAATCTTTGTTTTTTTATTGGGGTTTGAGGAGAATAATCACAGTCGTGTGATTTTTATATTTTTTTCATTTAAGAATATTATTTTTTGTATTTTGTTTTTGTTACGTGGCGTACCTTTAGAATTGGAATAAGAAAAAAGCGAAACTGTTTTTTAAAGGTTATCCAATTTGTTTGGAAAAAGTCCACAGAAAAATATAATTTTTTCTTATAAAAATTCACAAATTTTGATTTTGTGGACTGGGTTGTGAAACAATGAATTTAAATCAACTCGTCCTAATTAAACAATCAACTCAAGATAATGTGTATGTGTTGAAATAGTTGGACTATATTTGATACAGATATGATTAGAGGCGTAATTATGACTAATAAAATGATATCATAATCAGGAATTTGAGACAATAAATTTGATTTTCAATCCCTATTAATAAGCCATGTCAATTGGGATCAATCCCATTAAGTGGTCTTTAATGAGTTTTTGAAAGCACGGGAAGAACATTCATTCATAACACATTAATTTTTTTTTCCATTAGACTATTCTAATTATGGCTTTATTGGACTTCATTTTACCATTGATATACTTTTACAAATACATTTGGCATCCAGTGTATGGTTCGGTAAAACTAACTTGGGCCATACACATCCCTTCTAATGGTAGTCCAACCCTATCTCATGATGACAAAGGTCGCAACCAGAAGTAACAACAACAGTCGAGCTGCCATAGCGGATATGTTAGTCACTACATAGGAATTGTGCCTCCAACGAAGCCTCGTAAGAGAGTGTTCATGATTTGCAACACTAGCACGTAGAGTCAGTCGTGGTCGATGACAAGGAGCTCATAGGTCATTTGTAACACTCATTTTAATTATTTAGTCTTTTGGTGTTATTTTATTTTTGGTGTGTCCTTTGTGGGGGAGTGAGTTTGAGCGCGTGGGTGGGTGTCCTTAATTTATAGGAGTCATTTAATAAAATGTAGAGTTTAATATTAATGTAATATAATTGATAATGATAATAATATAATACTTTATAGTAATGTGGTTATGTTATTAATCTTATTATTATTATTATTATTATTATTAGATTAATAAAATGAAATGAAGATTAAAAAGGGGTATTAGAAGAGTCTAGGGGGGAGGGGAGATTAGAACACGATAAAAGCCAGTTTTAGAGATAAGAGTAAAGGGGAAGAAAAAGGAAGAAGAGAAGAAGGCTAGGGCTAACGATTCTTCAGGTTCTTGGTCAATCAGAGCATTAATCAAGGTAAGGGGGAGAAACTGATTGGGATTGGTATTTACATGAATTGGGTAGAGGGGATTCCTTAACCCCGTAGGAATTTTGAGGAGCATGATTTGTATGTTGAGGAATTGGTGAATATGTGTTTATAATTGCATGCTGTATAAAAGTTGAAAATTGGAAATTTCTATTCCGACGATTTTGGCCATAACTTTTAATCCGTAAGTCGGTTTTAGTTCTCGTTCGAAGCGTTGGAAAGCTAATGAATAGATCTATAACATAGTATAAATAATATAATTAGTTGCCAAATATTTTTATATCCAATATGTTTGGTGAGGTGATCAGGAGGATCGTGTGCCCTTAGTGTGCTTGTGTTTACTTGTTGTGTAATATGTATGATGTATGGTGATGTGATCAGGGGATCGTGTGCATGTAACGTGCTTGAGTTCATTTGTTGTGCATTTGGTGTTATGCATATCACGGTGTTTGGTGGGACGAATCATTGCTCAGGAGGAGTGTATGTGATTCATCTGTACTCCCTTGTGGAGAATGGTGGGGACAGATCATGGCCAAGGACGGGTGTATGTGATCTATCCGGGGTTCGATTGAATGAATCAATGAGTCGGTACCGTATGCATGGTGTTGAGTTGCATAATTGCATTATGGTGTGTTGTGTTGATGTTGGACAGTAGGTCGTGTTTGATGAATGTTGGGTGATGAATTATATGATTATTACCTTTATTTCACGTACTGTATTACCGGTAATTTTGATCATGTTTTCTCACCCCTTTGTTGTTGTTGTTGTGGTCTGTGCTTCTTCGGAAGTACAAATAATTTAGGTACTTAGCTAGCTTGGATAGAGGTGTGCGAGTCGAGTCTTAGGATGCTCTGATACGTAGCACGAGACTTGGGCGTTTTCTTTTGATTTAATTGAACTTGTTTTACTTTCCTGTGACGTATCATGTGTTGGTGCATTTTATTAATGAATATTTTCATGTATTGGCGGATGGCCGAGAATGATGAACTAAGGAATATTTTCCGCTACTTTGTTTTGAAAACCTTCTAATGAAGAGTATGTCGAGTTATGTGATGTGATATCCCACTTTTGTGGAGAACTCTGATGTTTATTCGAATTAATCGTATTTTATTTTAATTCGGGAAAGTGGGGTGTTGCAATTGGTATCAGAGCAGGTCGGTCCGTCCGGCCAGTGTAGTTGTTGAGTCTGTCCTTAGGATAGAGATTATGTATCTTTTAACCTGGTGTTGTTATTGTTAAGCAGTATGGCAGGAAGGAATGATGTTGCTTTGGTTGCTGCTATGCAAGCGATGACGCATGTGGTTGCTAATTAGAACCAAGTTGCGGGTGCGCAATTTGGGGATTTGGCACAGTTTCGGAGTAACAAGTCGCCGACGTTTTAAGGAGGAATTTTGGATCCTGAAGCTGCGCAGAAGTGGCTGAAGGCGATTGAGAAAATTTTCAGGACAATGGGTTGTAGTGATGAGCAAAAGGTGAGGTTTGATACTCACATGCTGGAAGGTGAAGCTGAGGCTTGATGGGACAACAGTCGCCAGAGATGGGTGACTGCAGGAACTGCGATCACTTAGGATGTAGTTCGAAAGGGTTTTCTAGAGAAATACTTTCCGGAAGACATACGAAGTGCTAAGGAGGTAGAGTTCTTAGAGCTGAAGCAGGGTAATCTGACCGTAGCAGAGTATGCTGCGAAATTTGAAGCGCTGGTGCAGTATTATCCTCATTACAATACTGAAGATGCGATGACCTCTAAGTGTTTGAAATTTGAGAATGGGCTGCGTCCGAAAGTTAAGTTGGGGATTGCTTGTCAGAAGATCAGGAATTATTCGGAGCTGGTAAGCAGGAGCAGGATTTATGATAATGATAACAGGGTCAGGATTGCACATTATAAGGCTGTGAATGACCGTAAAGGTAAGCAGAGGTTTGGTGGTACTCCTTACAGTGTTCCTGCTGATAAGGGAAAACATAAGGCTGCTACTGATAAGAAGCCCAGAGAGGGGGAGACATCTGCTGATTTGAAATGTTTCTGGTGCGGTGGTGCGGATCATCGGGTTAATGAGTGTCCTAATAAGGTGAAAAAGTCTTCAGGTGTGGTAAGTCAGGCCATGTAATAGCTGATTTCAGAGCCACTATGCCTACCTGTTATAACTGTGGTGAGAAAGGTCATATCAGTATGCATTGCGAGAAGCCGAAGAAGTCTCAAGCGTCTCAGGCCAGTGGTAAAGTGTTTGTTGTAGTGGGAACTCAAGGTGCCAGTGAAGAGCGTTCTATCAAAGGTACTTATTTCATCAATAATATTCCTTTTACTGCTATTATTGATACGGGTGCAACCCATTCGTTCATTTCTGTTGAGTGTGTGAAGAGAGTAGGATTGGTGTCGTCTACTCTTGAGCGACGGATGACTATTGAAACTCCCTCGATTGGTTCAATGACTAATTCTTTAGTGTGTTTGAAGTGTCCAATGACTATTTTCGGTAGAGACTTTGGAGTAGATCTGATTTGTCTGCCACTTGGTAATTTGGATGTTATTCTGGGTATGAACTGGTTGGAGTTCAACCGAGTCTACATCGATTATTTTCGGAAGGTGTTGTTGTTTCTTACTCCAGAAGGGGAAGCGTTGGTGGATTCCTTGTATAATAAGGAATTAAGGACCCTGTTGGAGGACGAAGCTAAGATGTTTGCTTTATTTGCGTCATTGTCTATCGACAGCAAGACATCAGTGAAAGAGTTGGCGGTGGTGAATGAATTTCCCGAAGTGTTTTCTGATGACATTACAGAATTACCTCCGACGAGGGAAGTTGAATTTAGCATTGATCTTGTTCCTGGTACGATACCTATATCTATGGCGCCGTACAGGATGTCGGCAGTGGAATTGGCTGAATTGAAATCTCAGATTGGAGAATTGTTGGATAGGAAGTTTATCAGACCGAGTGTGTCGTCGTGGGGAGCTCCAGTGTTGTTGGTAAAGAAGAAGGATGGCAGTATGCGTTTGTGCATCGATTACCGTCAGTTGAATAAAGTGACCATTAAGAATAAATATCCTCCTCCAAGGATTGACGATTTGATGGATCAGTTGGTGGGAGCTAGGGTGTTCAGTAAAATTAACTTGAGGTCGGGTTACCATCAGATCAGAGTGAAAGAAGGTGATATTCAGAAGACGACATTTAGAACTCGATATAGACATTACGAATATGTTGTAATGCCTTTTGGAGTGTCTGATGCGTCGGGAGTGTTTATGGAGTATATGAACCGAATTTTCCATTCTTATTTGGATCAGTTCATTGTTGTGTTTATTGACGATATACTGATTTATTTTGAGTCTGAGGAAGAACATGCAGGACATTTGAGAATTGCTTTGCAGGTGCTGAAAGATAATAAGTTGTTTGCTAAGCTATCAAAGTGTGAGTTCTGGTTAAAGACAGTCAGTTTCTTGGGGCATGTAATATTCGGTGATGG